AAAAAAAAAATTGCTTTAAAAAAAAAAAAATGAAAAAACTATATGAACAATATACTGAACAATATGCCCGATTAAAATCAAGAGCTTACATAAACATAAAAGTAATGGTGTTTCTCACCTTGCCCTTTGACACAATGTTGCTGAAGAGCTCTTTATCAATGAGAGCTCCATTCCTCTTCTGTTTGAGGTGCAAACCAAACAGCACCCTCACCTCCTCTTCATCAGGTTCATACTCCGGATCCATCTAAAAGAACAGGACATACATTATGAAGGCTCAGAAGCACATGGGCTTTTGGAGCATTCTTTGAAGTACTGTTCAAAAGTTTGGGTTCAGTAAGTTCTTTTTCTGAAAAATATTAATAAGGTGACACTAAAGTGTTTTTAAATTTAAAAAAAATAAAAAAATAAAAAATAATAATAAATATATATATATATATATATATATTTCAAACAAATGCTGTTCTTCTGAACTTTCTATTCATCAAAAAAAATAAATAAATAAAAAAAAGTTTGGATCATGTGACACTGAAGACTGGAGTAATGATGCTGAAAATTCAGCTTTGCATCACAGTAATAAATTACATATCCACTATATTACTGTTTTTAGGTTAAATAAATGCAGTCCTGGTGAGTATGAGAGACTTATTTTAAGAACATCAAAAAATAAATAAAAAATCTTACCGACCCCAAACTTGTGACCCTGGACTACAACACCAGTCATAAGGGTCAAATTGAGATTTATACATCATCTGAAAGCTGAACAAATAAGCTTTCCATTGATGTATGGTTTGTTAGGATAAGACAATAAAAAAATATTTTGCCGAGATACAACTATGTAAAATCTGGAATCTGAGGGTGCAAAAATCTCAAAATATTGAAAAAAAATTGCCTTTAAAGATGTCAAAATGAAGTTCTTAGCAATGCATATTACTAATCAAAAATTAAGTTTTCATATATTTACAGTAGGAAATTGGCATTAAAGAAAAATAAATTTTGACCCATACAATGTATTTTTGGCTATTGCTACAAAAATACCCCAGTGACTTAAGACTGGTTTTGTGATCCAGGGTCACATATATTATCACATATGTATATATCACAGTACCATGGTACAGCATAACCAACAAAAGTATATAAATTATTTTTTAGTAAGGGCTGTTTTAAACAAAAAGTGAATGGAACGGGAAACGGTGGAGCAAACTTAGTCAAATAACTATTCTTTGTCTTTAATCAACAAACAAGCATGGTTTACCCGAAGGACACAGTAGTTTCCATTCTTCTTTTTGGAGAGAATTCGCAGAGCTTCTTCATCATAACCAGGAGCAACAATACCATCTGACACCTAAAAACATTGGGCAAAGTTTTGTATAAATTGTACAAAATAAGGGGCTAATGCTTTGAGAGAATATGAACTCTTAGATGTGATGAAAGAAAAAGTGAATCTCACACCTCTCTGGAGATGATCTTGGCAGTGGGGACGTCACAAACATCAGACAAAGCAATGAAGTCTCCAAAAGAGGACATCCTGTCAGAACCTACAAGATATTTTTTCAGATTTTTCCATACTTTAGGCTTAAACATGGAAAAACTACACATCCACCTTGTGAGATTAATGCCTGAAAATGTATTCTTGGTGAAAAAATGAAGTTGCACGGAGAGAAGTTTCACCTCTGGCTCTGGCGTATGCAGTGGCGAGAGGGGTGAGATCCTGGCGCATGTCATTCACCATACACACCTTGGCCTCATCTTCGCTCAAAGGGATGCCCACTGCAGCTCCTGTGGTGAAAGGTGAACATTTGTCTCAAATGTCTGTCTTAAAGTCCAAGCCCTTTTCTGAAACTCTACAAGAAAGACGTGAGCTTTACTGGCATCTGGGAAGCAAGTTTTGTGTTCATACCTGCAGGGCTGACGTGTTTAAATGAAGTGGCGGCTGGCAACCCAAGAGCTTTCTTTAACTCTCTCACCAGCTGCCAGGCGTTCAGAGCATCACACAGGTTAATGAATCCTGGAGATCCATTCAGCACTGAGACGGAGTCAGAATTGTAGTGGAATATTAGTATTCTATCTTTTGTGATTAAATACTGATCTGGTAGCAGCAAATGTGATCATATATACCGGTAAGTGGAAGTGCTGGGCGTAAAGTGTAGAGCTGAGCAGGTGCTTGATGGGGGTTCATGCCATACCGCAAGGGCAGCTGGGAAATTCCTCGACTGTCTTCACATCTGAAGTAATCAGAAATGGCCTCGTTGTACTGAGCAGTATGTGTGAAGGCCTGAGATATTACAAGTAAACAAGTAGTTATATTTCAAGAACTGAAACTGGGGAATCTAATTAGAAACCCCTAAGCCAACTGCAAGTTTATCAAGGATTGATGCAAATGTCTAAAGAGAAGTGTGGCTAATAAAATACAGATACATATTTGTATATGTTGCAATCATTTAATGACAGCAGACGAAACATACAATTAATTACATACATAACTGCTAATATTAACAAAATAATTAAATGATAAATTATATCCAATCCAAGTATACACTACTGTTATAACCAGTGTTAGGAAGGTTCCTTTGAAAAAGTAATAGGTTACAGATTACAAATCACCCTATTTAAAGTGTAATAAGTAGTGTAACTACTTCAATTAGTTTATTAATGTAACTGATTACATGTGATTAATTTTTGATTACTTTTCTAAATGTTTTCAACTGTTAATCATTTTCAAACATTTAAAGCAGGCAGGGTTAACCTTACAGTAGTACTCAACATCTTACTGTCAAGACTTTCAAAATCCTTCATCACTTGAATTAAGATTATAATTTAAATTTGAAGCACAGCCACCACAAAATCAGACTTTAGCAGCTCTTTTTACTTTGAGGTTGTTCTGAAGTTAAATACAGATTTAAAATCATAAGAAATAGTTTAATAGCTATGATACTGTTTTTAAAATCAAATCTTTGCATAGCTATGACAGGAAACACTGGCATCTAACAATGCCTTGGAAAAAACAGTTAATCTTTAAAAAAAAAGTTATCAATGTATGTAAAACAGTTATCAATAAGTCTGTGTCCTAAACTCCTGCAACATTGGTGTTTTATATTTTATAGTAGTCAATGCAATTTGGGAAAGAAATCAATTATAATATTTAGATGTAACCCCCCTTTGTAATTATTAACATTTTCATAAGTAACAGTAATTTTAAAAAAAAAATTCTCAGTAACTAATTATTTATTTTGTAATTAAATTACGTAATGCTGTTACATGTAATTATTTAATCCCCAACACTAGTTATAACGTCTGCAGTGACTAAGTTTTCGGTTTGTTTGTTTTTTTATTACTTTCATTCCTCAGTGATGTCATTCCCAATGTATGCATGTGTGTGTGTGTGTGTGTGTGTGTGTGGCAGATTTATAGGCCTATCACTAGTTAAATAAACAGATTAAAAAAACACTACAACACAAAATGGATAATTCTTAAAATACAGCAAAAGCAATAACCAAACAAATGTCAGCACAGCTCAAAGCTCATTAAGAACAAAAACTGATCAGACACTTTTCTTTTTTCCTCACAGGTGTCCCAAACAAACATAACATTTTATGCTTAAACTAGAGGCCTTCATGGGTCCACTTGAATCCGAAAACCTGAGGTCCGACCTGAGACAAAACTTTGACGAGTGCCTCGGACACGGGTCAGGTTTGGGTTCAGTTCAGTCTCGGGTAATTTAAATAAATGTGCTTTTTCCAAATGGACCCGATCCCTTTAACGTACTTGCGCATTGGTGTTAAGTGCATTTTTAAGAAACGGATGTGGAAAAAAGGAACATACATTTGTAACCTCGCACACAGAAATCCATCTTATAGATTGAGATCCATCAGGAAAACCCACTTGCTTCATTATGGTGCACGTTCATTATGGTGCACGTTCATGTAGGGCAGGGCTTTTCTTTTTTGCGTGCAGAATCCCTTCGGCGGAGATGAGGTAAATAGCATTGCAGAGCAGACAACACTAGCGAATCCATGATTTATTAGGCTATGGATTTATTTTTTATCGAGCAATCATGTTTATTTTTCCAATCCACTGGTCACAATTGAAAGCCGAACTCAGAAATAACTTGTATCCATCAGGCAGACAATAATATAAAGTAATACTAAATTAAATAAATGTTAAATAAATCAAAGTAATGGAGAAGCGGCCTAATCAGTCAGCAGGACACCGGGATCTTTCTTTACTGACTGCGGGGCTGCAGGCTGTGTACACATCAATGCCGTTTACATTCGGGTCCAGAGGGGTTCGAAAATAAATGCAGTCGGGTCGGGTCAGACTCGGGTCTGTCTCAGGTTGGGTATTTTTTTTATTTTTTTATTATAATTAATGCACGTCGGGTTCGGTCAAGAAGTGATTCGGGTCGGGTACATATTTTAGGACCCAAGAAGACCTCTAGTTTGAACTTCAGCAAACATCTGCATAGCATCTTCAGTAAACATCTGAAACCCAATCTGATCAAAAACATGCTGTAGCAACAGCAGAAACACTTGATCTAACAGCTGTATTGTTTATTTTAAGGGTTATCAGTGCAGGTAAACATGACAAGTCAATGAGTCAGAACTTAACCAGAGCAAAGACTCCCAAAGTAACAAAAGTGCCCCTGCTATTTAAACTGTGAGGCCAAAAACACCTCTGCAGTGAACTCCTCGGTCATCTAAAATATTAGATTTGATTAAGCTGATTTTGACTAATAGGCCATGTTGACTGTTTATTTCAGGTAAAAGGGCTGAAAGCATGAAACGGATATGAGCAAGCCTATTGCTCAATGGTAACGGCAAATCTTTGTCTGATCATGATTTACCACAAAATTCTGAATATTAGCCATTCAGTAATGTAGCCCATGTGTCTGCTTTGCATCTAAACAGGGTCTAATTCATTTATAATTGTCATGTAGTATATATATACACATATATGTATTACAGTATATTATATATAATTTATTTAATAATATAGAAGTATATTTCGCCATATGTAAATAAGCCTATATTATGGGTCAGTATTACATTAAAATTAATCTGTTCTGCATCATTAATTTTTATTAGTGGTGAAAATCCTCTTCCAGAGTTCACTGTGTTCAGGTCACATTAGATGATGTTCACAGATTTTTGGATGTGCACAAAGGTCAGTGGGTCGTCAAAGCTTAACCAAATCTCATCTCAGATAGGACTGTCAGGGTTACCTTGAGCGCAAGAGCTTTGCGTGTTTCCATTGTGCTATCACGGTTGTCGGAGGATTCCATTTCCTTTGCAACAACATCGTAGTCAGATGGATCGCAGACTACAGTGACTCTGGCGTGATTCTTAGCTGCAGCTCGAAGAAGAGTAACCCCACCTAAATAAGATTGAGGGATTAGTGGTGACACTTTTGTTAACGGGGAAATCTCACATGTTCCCACTTCCACCATAAATCAAAGATATATTCTGGGATGTAACTGCAACAATACAACATTAACACAAATAAAGTAGTTATATTGATTAAATGTATTTGATTAAAATTAATTAAATCAAAATGTGCTTTACTGAATATAGAAAATGATACAAAATTTCTATATTTTGTATAGTTTCAACAAAATATAAATATATACCAATACATTATTATTATTATTATTATTTTTAAAGCATTTTTACAAATTCTGCCCAAAAATGACCCAAAAATAATTTTTGATAGAATTGAATGAATCAATGATAGTACTTATTAATAGCATACTAAATAGTATTCTATAATATAACATTATACTAAAATAACCCTGCCATAGACTGACGTATAAATATGTATTATTCCATGTAAAAATGAATATTAAAGATTACTTTTGAAGGAAAATGTGATTTATTGGTATGAAAAAAGGCTTATTTTTTTCTCTGCAAAATATAGTTTTGTTTACTCTTGCACTTTATAATCTTGCTAATAATGTTCTCTCTAAAGCGCATATAAAAGTTTGCCTCTATAGAAATGATCACATTTCTTAAACATACAAAAACATTGTTGATTCCAAGTTATATTAAACAAGGCGTGAATTCGGAGCCCTTTAATCAAAACCCCGTGAACCATTAACAGTGTACTGACCGATATCAATCTGCTCGACAGCGTCTTCCACAGTCACATTCGGGGATGCAACAGTCTTCACAAATGGGTAAAGGTTACAAACGACCACTCTTGAAAAACACAAGTTCAAATACATATTAAATGCTACTGAAAAAAAAAATAATAATAGTTCACTGGCTACAATTAACAAAAATATGTAGACTACACGTCTAGCATGTCATTACTGCATAATTACTACCCATACTTAGTTCACAGTGATCATGACCATGTTAGCCAATCAAAAAAACTCTCTAAATGGCTGAGAGCCAGTATGTAAGATCACAAGTTGTCACACCACAGCGGCACTATGTGAATTATCAGTGATTAGATTACCAAAGCTGAGTCTCGACTTCTTACAAAAACCCAATGGAAAGCATGTTAGCACCACTAAACCTGACTATATCTGTACTCGTGTCACATGACAATCATTCATGAAATAGCATGACCTAAATTTAAAATCAATAAAGCAGAACTTGCAAAACAAGTCCCATAGTATTATCACTCTTAACACAGATAGTATTGGATTTTTTTTTTCCTTGCTGAACAGTGTTACCTGACAAGACTAAACCCTAGTTTTTCCATATCAGCCTTATCAGAGGGAGTTTGTCTGGCCAAAATGCCACCGTGGACAGCAGGATGAAGGGTCTTAACTCGCCCTGCAAGCATTTCAGGAAATCCAGTGAGATCGGACACATCCCTATAAGAAAAAATAACGGTCATATATTTATATATATGAAATCATACAACAAACATTTTTTGAAGTGACAAGAGGGTAAGTAGATTTCTACATCAACAACCCCTTTAAGTCAATGTTATAGGCTACCTGAAATATTTTGTATTGCTTTAGTTTTAAACAAATCACAGCAACTATAAAGACATTTTAATTACAGTAAAAAAAAAATTTTTTAAAAAGTGTGACCTGACAGTGAGTTCAGCATCTCTGAGAGTTTTGGCGGTGCCACCTGATGCCACTAACGACAGACCCACTGATATCAGTCGCCTGGCAAACTCCAACAGTCCGGTTTTATCCGAAACACTCAGCAATGCTGAAAAAAGATCATCAATTAGTCATATCAATTAGACAATCATAAACGGTGCACGCACAAGAAAATGCATCTAACATTTAAAAAACTGCAGCAGGATGGCTTAACTTACTTCAACTGCACTGATGCATCACTTTTACACAAATCCAGCCTTAGTTAATGATAGACCAGTACTTAATTAAATACTTTGGCAAAAAAACTCAACTACACATTAGTACTTTATTACTATGGTACTGCAAAAGAGACAAGTTCAAATATTGGCTTATAGTTACCATCGTGGCAGTGTCAAAAATCATAGTACTACCATGCTGATTTTGGTATTGTTTACTAGTGACATATCAAATCAGTTTTCAGAATAAGATTCAAATACAAACTCTTTCCTAAAGTTAAGTTTGTCTATAAAGTTTTATGTTAATGTCAATAAAGTCTGTGAAAGATCCACAATTCTGTGCGCACTGTATCACCCAACAAAAACAAACACAAAGAATTACCATGATATTAAAAAGATACATGATTACCTAGTTCAGATGCCATGCTGCAGGTGAAGCAGAGTAAATCTGAGATTTGTGCTGTAGTGTCTCGTGCACACAGCTCGATGTTAATCAAACCACGTGGATGCAATAGTTTTATCCGCGTAGATGCATGATGGGAAATGTAGTTTTTTATATCAAATGACACTCCTGCTTTAACGAGACACAAGGGAGTGTTTTATTTAGTTTTATGTACAATATAATTATTCAAAAACAGAAACGCAAAACAAGAAGGAGACGTAAAGTGTACGATGAAAATGGTATTATAGTCTAGGTGAAATCGAATAATAAAAAAAAAACTAAGTTGATATTTACCTTTGCAAACACACCAATAGATGGCGCCTCATGCACACTTTGCGTTTTCATAACACTACATCATTTGTAAGCATTCAGGCTCCTTGTTTTGTCCTGCTCTTTTCAACCTTCATCGAAACATATTTGAAGAAATGTAGCATTACATTGCTTGCTCACCAATGGATCCTATGCAGTGAATGGGTGCCGTCAGAATGAGAGTCCAAACAGCTGATAAAAATATGACAATAATCCACAAGTTATCCACACGGCCCCAGTCTATCAATAAACGTCTTATGCTTATGTCTTAAACAAATCCATCATTAAGGCATTTTAACTTTAAACCATCGCTTCTGGCAAAAATTCAAGTCCATAATCCATAATTTTGCTTCCTCCAGTGAAAAAAAAGTTTTTTTCACCAACATATTTGTTTAGAACTGTTCTGCTTAGAAACAGTGCTTTATCTGTGCATATTTATCTTCTATTTCTATATGTTTTTTCACTTTTTTTTCTTCAAATCTGTTTCAATCAATTCAATGAACAAACAAACTCATCTACATCTTGGATGCCCTGAGGGTGAGTACATTTTAAGCAATTTATTTTTTATTTTCGGGTGGTATTTTAACTATTCGGGGTGGTTGCTAGGTGCTCAAACAATGTCTCTATCATATTCTGCTCTTGATATGGTTTCTTCAGTGCAAATCGATGAGATTTTTCACCTGTTTTATCATCCATCAAATGAATATTTTCTGAGAAGTTTCTCCTCAGCAAACTGTATGATTTTGAGGTGTTTTTAATGTCTGTAGCAGAAACGGTGCAGGATGCAGTTTAATATTTAGGGTTAGGGTTTGTTTTAAATGTCACACTCAATTGGTTTCGAACATTTCATTAGGAGATTCATTGATTAATTGATAATCAAGTCACCTCCTACAGTACAAATCTTGCAGTCTTGACACCAAATGTAGAAATCAGCTTCCAACAAAATCTCAGAAGTCCTTGAACTGTCCTTGCTTACTGTATCTGTATCTCTTTTAGTGTTTTCTTTCACCAGCTTGACCAGTGTGTTGGTTATATTTATCTTCTGCTTGGCTGTGATTGTGTCTAATTGGCAGATCAGGACTTCATTAAAGCAGATTAAGTGTGAGGGAAGATGGGCAAAACACAGTGTTGTATCGGTGAACGGGGTGATGGTGAAGGAGAGAATTAGCTGATTAAAATGGACAAGCGTGTGGACATAAGGTGGGAGGGGCTGCGGGTGATTGATGGGTAGTTGTAGCAGATTGAAGTGTTTGGGTAAGGCCTGTCAGCGAGCTGGTAGAGAATGAGTGAGGTGTCTTCATCAATTTAGAGCCATTATCATGTCAAAAGGAGAGATGCCATCTGCATGAGACTGCTTTGCAGGCAATCAATCTCATACGAGAAAAGTGTGTGCGTTTATGTGTGCATCCATTTCTTTGTATTGTAATGTCTTGGAAACATGGAGCATTACTATGTATGCACACAAATGCATTAAAATAGAGGATGATGGGGCTAGCTGTCACACAGGGAAGGGCTATTTTTCAGTAACTATAATGCAGGATTATTTTAGTTAAGCAAAAATAAAACCATAAAAAACATTTTATTTTCTTGAAATACAATACATTTTAACTGAAATAACATACCAAAACTTAAACTTATTTTATTTTAATTTTTATTTAGTTTAAATTGACATTCTGAAATAAAAATGAATAAAAACTATATAGACATATTTAAAAA